TCCGCATCGACCCCCAATCGCCCAGTGGTCGGCGATAGGGGCTCGAAAGACCACCCCGCCCAGGAACGCTCGGATTCGCCATCGGGGGCCTGGCGCCGACCCCTCGTCCCTGCGACGGCCCCCCCTAACTAGCGTTGCCCTGCACGCCCGCGCCCTCCCGCAGGCTCCTCCGCTTCACGCGGCTGACCCGCATGCTGAAGATGGCCCGCGTCATTAAGATAGCGCGCCTCTCCAAGCTCGCAGTGTCCAGCGTGGGCCCGCGCTCGCAGGGGGGGGGGGCCGGGGAGACTGCAGAGAGAGGGGGGGAGGAGGAGGAGGAGGAGGAGGAGGAGGAGGAGGAGGAGGAGGAGGAGGGAGGAGGGGAGGAGGAGGAGGAGGAGGGGGGAGGGGGAGGAGGAGGAGGAGGAGGAGGAGGGAGGAGGAGTTAGGAGGAGGGGAGGAGGAGAGCGGTATGGTGAGGAGGAGGTGTGAGGCGGGGAGGAGGAGGAGGAGGAGGAGGAGGAGGAGGAGGAGGAGGAGGAGGGGAAAAGGAGGAGGAGGAGGAGGAGGAGGAAGAGGAGGAGAGAGGAGGAGGAGGAGGAGGAGGAGGAGGAGGAGGCCTCAGGGGCATCGTTCGTCGAAAAATTAGCAACGGCGTCATAAACAGATGCTTCCGACGATCTGCGTGGATCTCTTGCCCCTGGCGGCGCTTCCGGCGCCGCCCCTGGCAGGCCCCGCGCGCCAGCCAGGGGGATCCTGCGCCGATTCCCGGAAGTCCGCGCGGACCGTCGAAAGAAAATCAAGCGGTCGCAAACATGGAGCGACGGGTCCAGTTTCCATGGGAGATCGCGGATTTCCGCCGTCTAGCGAGGCGGCACCGGCCGCATCTTGGGGAGGGCACCTCACCCGATCCATGGATTTGGCGACCGCGCCAGATCCATGGATCGCTAATCCATGTTTGCGCACCCCCGAGCCGTCGAGAGTAAAGTTCCTGTCTACAGTGCCTTTTTAATACATGCTCCGCGTGCGGATCATGTACTAAACATGTAGGGATTTAGTACTAAAAACAACGATGAGTTCATGTATAAGTTTGTTCATACATTAATCCTCATTAAAATCCTCTTTTATATCTTAATCATTGTTCACCACTAAAAGTGATATGTATTAAAACCTGTCCTGTATGCCTCTCGTTCCTCTACTCAGGGCAGGATCGGCTCCGAGGGGGCGCGTCGACCCGCCGTCGCCCGGCGGTCGGCGAGGGGAGCCTGGCAGCCCACCCCGCCCAGGAACGTGCAGACCCGTTCTCTAGGGGAACAAACAATGACAGAAACATACAAACTCGGAGGTCCGCGCGGATTTCTCGGATCGGCGCTGGGGCTCCCTGGCGGCGCCTCCGGCGCCGCCCCTGGCGCGCTCCGCGCGCCAGGGAGGGGGGTCGAGCGCCGATCCGAAAAATCCGCGCGGACCTCCGAGTTTTTATGTTTATGTCACTTTTCGGTTGCCGATCCATCGTCGATTTTTTCCCCCCTGCTGATGCAGCCCCCCCTCCCCTCCTACCATTCCCCCTGAGAGGCGGGAAAAGGAGGATGAGGAGGAGCAAGATGTCAGATGACGAGGAGGAGAAGGTCAGAGGAGGAGGAGGAGGAGGAACATGAGGAGGAGGAGGAGCAGGAGGGCGAGGAGGAGGAGGAGGAGGAGGAGGTTGTCAAATGATGACAATGACGACGGTGCTTATGATGATGCTCATGCTCATGCTGATGCTGGTGCTGGTGCTGGTGCTGGTGCTCATTCTGATTCTATTGATGATGATGGCGATTATGAAGATCATGATGGTGTTGATGAGAATGATGACGATGCTGATGATGAAGATGATGATGGTGGTGATGATGATACTGGTGGTGATGATGATGCTGATGCTGCTGGTGATGCTGATGCTGATGATGGTGATGCTGATGATGCTGATGGTGATGGTGACGATGCTGATGTTGATGATGGTGATTGTGATGACGACGATGATAATGGGGAGCATGATGATGTTGATGATGATGCTGATGATGATGATGATGGTGAAGTGGTGATGATGGTGGTGGCGATGGTGCTGTTACTGATGATGAGTATGATGCTGATTGTGATTATGATGGTGATACTGATTGTGATGATTACGATGATGATGCTGTTGATGAAGCTGATGATGATGCTGATCCTGATTGTGATGATGACGATACGGATGATGATGATGATGATGATGATGATGATGATGATGATGATGATGATGATGATGATGATGATGATGTTGATGTTGATGTTGATGCTGATGATGATGCTGACGACGCTGATGATGACGATGATGATGATGATGATTTTTGTGATGATGATGCTGATGCTGATTCTGAATGACTGATTGACGACAATGATGATGCTGATGCTGGTGATGATGAGGACGATGATGGTAATGATGATGCTGACGACGACGATGCTGCTGATGATGATGCTACTTCTGATGATGGATTTATTGACGATGGTGATGATGATTATGATTGCGAAGGCCTGACGGCCAGTGCCGCCGACCCTGTTCGCAATGCGCAGCAAGAGGCATGGGCTGTGGGATGGTTTGGGGGAACGGGGAGAAGGACGAGAAGGTGGGGGAGGGAGGTGTCGTATCTGACCCGGGACTTCCCCGGGACTCCCCCGGGACCCCCCCCGGGACCTCCTCTCCCCCCCCCGTCGGGGAAGGGAAAGGGAAGGGGCTTCCCTTCGACTCAATGACGACGTTGCTCAAGGTCGGTACGGGGGGGGGGCGTCGTATCTGACTCGGAGGGGGGGTCGCTACCCCCCCCCGCTACCCCCCCCCCCCTCCCGGCGGGGGAGGAATGAAAGGGAAGGGGCTTCCCTTCGACTCAATTACGAGGTTGCTCAAGGTCGGCTTGGCTGGAGCCCAGGGGAAGAGGAGTCCCAGGGGGGGGCGTCGTATCTGACCCGGGGGGGGGGTCGCTACCCCCCCCCCCCTCCCGGCGGGGGAGGGATGAAAGGGAAGGGGCTTCCCTTCGACTCAATTACGAGGTTGCTCAAGGTCGGCTTGGCTGGAGCCCAGGGCAAGAGGAGTCCCAGGGGGGGGCGTTCTTTAATCTGACCCGGTGGGGGGGGGGTCGCTCCCCCCCACCCCCCCCATTGACGATGGTGATGATGATTATGATTATGATGATGATGCTGATGATGACGATGACTATTCTGACGACGTTGATGCTGGTGCTGATGCTGAGGTTGATGAGGATTATGCTGGTTCTGTTTGTTATTATTATGATGTTGGTTGGTTGATTGGTTGGTTGGTTGATTGATTGATTGATTGAGGAGGAGGAGGAGGAGGAGGAGGAGGAGGTGGAGGAGGAGGAGCTGCTGCATCAGAGAGGAGGTGGAGGAGGAGGAGACTTAAGGAGGTGAGTTGAGGAGGACGAGGAGGGGGAGGTCTGAGACGCCGGCGGGAGCCGCCGCTCCTGGCTCGAGCCCACCGACCCCGCCGGGCAGCGGCCATGGCCGGCGCCGCCAAACGCGCAGCCAGCCGAGGCGATGGCGAACCCGCGCGCGCCGCGCGCGGGGCGCCGCCCGCGCGGGGCGCGGCCGGCGCAGGGCCGCATGCGAGCGGCGGCGATGCCCAGCGGGCTGGCCGCTGGCGTCGAGCCCTGGCGGGCGCCGCGGGGGTGCTGCTGGCGGGCGCGTGGGCCGCCCGGCGCACGCCCGCCCCGGGCGCGGGGCGCCTCAGGCACGCGGCAGCCGGGGGTACGATCGCACAGGGTCGCAGGCCTCAAGGTTGACACCAACACCAACATCGGCGGCGTGCCTCCACCGAAGGAAGAAGATCCCGATCTCGGGGATGGTGGTAAGACTCTGGCTTTCAAGGTGACCGAAAGATTACCACCACCACCGAAATCTAGGATCATCTACCCCCCGTGGAGGCAGCCCCCTGTGTTGGTCTTGGTGACCATTTCCAGGCCTCCAACAGGGGTGCGCACCCAGACAGCACAGGGCCCCTGGAATCAAGCAGTGGCGAAGCGTCCTGGCTCGCCTATGGGCCCATGGGCCCACCATCGGAGGTCGATAGGCCTCCTACCCTGACATGTCGATGAGCGAAGTGGCCGTTTTCGGTTGGCGAGAGGGCGTCGCGGCCGTCATTTCTGCGGATCCAGGTCCGTCGGTTTCGGTCCTAGGCCGTTTTCCCTGCCGACACCAAATAATGTTCTAAGAACCCTTCTGTGGTTTGCGCGAAATGTGTTCTAAGAACATGTCTGGCCGGGATTGTCTTGCTTCAACACACCGGGGTCATGTTACAAAAATACTGTTATGTGATTCGAGCATTTTTAGGTTCTAAGAACATTTCGTGGTAGGCCTACTGGAATGCCGGTACGGTCGGTCCCTGCTCAGTGGAAGTCCCGACCTGTTCTTCCCCAGGACCGGTGCTTCATCCCGAGTTGTTCCCAACCCTCCTTGGCTGGGTATTCGTTTTGAATAGACCACTGTGGTCGCGTCCTTTTCCTTCTCCCGCCTCCCGTCTCCCGTTTCCGTCTTGTCTCCTCTAGTCTTGTGCGTGCCTCGTGTGTGTGTGTGTGGATGTGTGTGTGTGTGGATGTGTGTGCGTGCGTGTGCGTGTGCGTGTGCGTGTGCGTGTGCGTGTGTGCGTGTGTGCGTGTGTGCGTGTGTGCGTGTGTGCGTGTGTGCGTGTGTGCGTGTGTGCGTGCGTGCGTGTGTGCGTGTGTGTGTGAGTGTGTATGTGTGTGTGTGTGTGTCTGTGTGTGTGCGCCGTCCTTGGGGGGGTGCGATCTGCGACACTGTCGCCACTTTCGAAGGCTGCTGGTGGGTCCCGGGGACTGAAGCACCGCGGGGATCTGAGCGAGACCTCGCCGTCCTTGGGGGGGTGCGATCTGCGACGCTGTCGCCAATTTCGGAGGGCTGTTGGTGCTGGTGGGTCCTGCGGACTGAGGCACCGAGGGGATCTGAGCGAGACCTCGCCTTCCCTCAGGGGCTGCGATTTGCGACGCTGTCGCCACTTTCGAGGGCTGCTGGTCGGTCCTGCGGAATGAGGCTCCGCGGGGATCTGAGCGAGACCTCGCCGTCCCTGGGGGGCTGCGATCTGCGACGCTGATGCAACTTTCGAGGGCTGCTGGTGGGTTCTGCGGACAGGCACCGCGGAATCTGAGCGAGACCTCGCCGTCCCTGGGGGGCTGCGATCTGCGACGCTGTCGCCACTTTCGAGGGCTGCTGGTGGGTCCTGCGGACTGAGGCACCGCGGGGATCTGAGCGAGACCTCGCCGTCCCTGGGGGGCTGCGATCTGCGACATTGTCGCCACTTTCGAAGGGCTACTGGTGGGTCGTGCGGACTGAGGCACCGCGGGGATCTGGGCGAGACCTCGCCGTCCTTGGGGGGCTGCGATCTGTGGCACTGTCGTCACTTTCAAGGGCTGCTGGTGGGTCCTGCGGACTGAGGCACCGCGGGATCTGAGCGAGACCTCGCCGTCCCTGGGGGGCTGCGATCTGCGACGCTGTCGCCACTTTCGAAGGGCTGCTGGTGGGTCCTGCGGACTGAAGCACCGCGGGGATCTGAGCGAGACCTCGCCGTCCCTGGGGGGCTGCGATCTGCGACGCTGTCGTCACTTTCGAGGGCTGCTGGCGGGTCCTGCGGACTGAGGCACCGAGGGGATCTGAGCGAGACCTCGCCGTCCCTGGGGGGCCGCGATCTGCGACGCTGTCGTCACGTTCGAGGTCTGCTGGTGGGTCCTGCGGACTGAGGCACCGAGGGGATCTGAGCGAGACCTCGCCGTCCCTGGGGGGCTGCGATCTGCGACGCTGCCATCACTTTCGAGGGCTGCTGGTGGGTCCTGCGGACTGAGGCACCGCGGGATCTGAGCGAGACCTCGCCGTCCCTGGGGGGCTGCGATCTGCGACGCCGTCGCCAGTTTCGAGGGTTGCTGGTGGGTCCTGCGGATTGAGGCACCGCGGGATCTTAGCGAGACCTCGCCGTCCCTGGGGGCTGCGATCTGCGACACTGTCGCCACTTTCGAGGGCTGCTTGCGGGCCCTGCGGACAGACACCGCGGGGATCTGGGCGAGACCTCGCCGTCCTTGGGGGGCTGCGATATGCGACAGTGCCGTCACTTCCGAGGGCTGCTGGTGGGTCCTGCGGACTGAGGCACCGCGGGGATCTGAGCGAGACCTCGCCGTCCCTGGGGGGCTGCGATATGCGACATTGTCCTGCTGGTGGGTCCTGCGGACTGAGGCACCGCGGGGATCTGAGCGAGACTTCGCCGTCCCTGGGGGGCTGCGATCTGCGACGCCGTCGCCACGTTCGAGGGCTGCTGGTGGGTCCTGCGGACTGAGGCACCGCGGGGATCTGAGCGAGACCTCGCCTTCCCTGGGGGGCTGCGATCTGCGACGCTGTCGTCACTTTCGAGGGCTGCTGGTGGGTCCTGCGGACTGAGGCACCGCGGGGATCCGAGCGAGACCTCGCAGTCCCTGGGGGGCTGCGATCTGCGACACCTGTCGTCATTTTCGAGGGCCGTTGGTTGGTCCTGCGGGCTGAGGCACCTCCACCCACAACCGCGGGGATCGAGCGAGACCTCGCCGTCCCTGGGGGCTGCGATCCTGCGGCAAACTTCGTCAACTTTCCGGGGGTGTTGGTAGGGGGGATCTTGCGGACTGAGGCAACCGATGATCTGAGCGAGCTCGCCGTCCCTGGGGCCCTGCGATCTCGACGCGTCGCCGCTTTCGAAGGGCTGCTGGTGGGTCCTGCGCGGACAGGCACCGCGGAATCTGAGCGAGACCTTCGCCGTCTCTTGGTGGCTGCGATCTGCGACATTGTCGCCACTGTCGAGGGCTGCTGGTGGGTCCTGCGGAGTGAGGCACCGCGGGGATCTGAGCGAGACCTCGCCGTCCCTGGGGAGCTGCGATCTGCGTCACTGTCGCCACTCTCGAGGGCTGCTGGTGGATCCTGCGGAGTGAGGCACCGCGGGGATCTGAACGAGACCTCGCCGTCCCTGGGGGGCTGCGATCTGCGACACCGTCGTCACTTTCGAGGGCTGCTGGTGGGTCCTGCGGACTGAGGCCCCGCGAGATCTGAGCGTGACCTCGCCGTCCTTGGGGGGCTGCGATCTGCGACGCTGTCGCCACATTCGAGGGTTGCTGGAGGGTCCTGCGGACTGAGGCACCGCGGGGATCTGAGCGAGACCTCGCCGTCCCTGGGGGGCTGCGATCTGCGACACTGTCGCCACTTTCGAGGGCTGCTGGTGGGACCTGCGGAATGACGCACCGCGGGGATCTGAGCGAGACCTCGCCGTCCCTGTGGGGGGGGGGGGGTGGGGGGGGGGGGGGGTGGCGATCTGCGACACCGTCGTCACTTTCGAGGGCTGCTGGTGGGTCCTGCGGACTGAGGCGCCCGGGGATCTGAGCGAGACTTCGCCGTCCCTGGGGGGCCGCGATCTGCGGCACCGTCGTCACTTTCGAAGGGCTGCTGGTGGGTCCTGCGGACTGAGGCACCACGGGATCTGAGCGAGACCTCGCCGTCCCTGGGGGGCTGCGATCTGCGACGCTGTCGTCACTTTCGAGGTCTGCTGGTGGGTCCTGTGGACTGAGGCACCGCGGGGATCTGAGCGAGACCTCGCTGTCCCTGGGGGGCTGCGATCTGCGACACTATCGCCACTTTCGAAGGGCTGCTGGTGGGTCCTGCGGACTGAGGCACCGCGGGGATCTGAGCGAGACTTCGCCGTCCCTGGGGGGCCGCGATCTGCGACGCTGTCGTCACTTTCGAGGGCTGCTGGTGGGTCCTGCGGGCTGAGGCACCGAGGGGATCTGAGCGAGACCTCGCCGTCCCTGGGGGGCTGCGATCTGCGACGCTGTCGCCCCTTTCGAAGGGCTGCTGGTGGGTCTTGCGGACTGAAGCACCGCGGGGATCTGAGCGAGACCTCGCCGTCCCTGGGGGGGCTGCGATCTGCGACACTGTCGCCACTTTCGAAGGGCTGCTGGTGGGTCCTGCGGACTGAGGCACCGCGGGGATCCGAGCGAGACCTCGCCGTCCCTGGGGGGCGGCGATCTGCGACGCTGTCGCCACTTTAGAGGGCTGCTGGTGGGTCCAGCGGAGTGAGGCACCGCGGGGACCTGAGCGAGACCTCGCCGTCCCTTGGGGGGGGGGCTGCGTTAGTAACCGCTACGACGCCCTTATAGCTTGATCGGGGGCCTGCGAGCCTTCCGATTGCTGCTCGCAATATCGCATGCGTGCATGTTACGTCATCGCCCGCGTTGTAGCAAGCCTGATGTACTTCTGCCCGGCACTGCGCAAGGGTTGGGTACGTACGTCGCCAGGGTAGTTTTCGGGAGGGTCGCGAGGCTTAGCGAGGGCCCTTGGCGGCCGCGAGCGGCGGCCCAAGACCTCCCGCCCAGAGTTCTCCGAACCCTCCCCTGCTTGGGCTCCCGTTTTTGAGCAGGGCAGCGTGGGCCCCGCCTCCTCCCTCCACACCCTCCTCGTCCCTCCTCCCCGTGGTCCACTGCCCTCCCCCCACATTTCTTTCTCGGAGGTGAATAGACCTCCTGCCATGACACGTCAATTAAGGACTTGGCCGTTTTCGGTTCGCGAGCGGGCGTTGCGAGCGTCATGTTTGCGGGTCTAGGTCCGTCGGTTTCGGTCCCAGGCCGTTTTCACTAAGGGGAGGTTTACTAAAGGGAGGTTTGTCCACCGCCGACTTTCCTGTTCAGTCGTCCTCTCCCTCGTCGAGAACTCGCGGGCCCTGCGGAGCTGCGGAGCGCGTAGCTGTCGCCGCTGTCGTGGGCTCCTCGGGGGGCGCCGGCGGAGTGGAAGTCCACGCGGACCTGCCGAGACCCTGCGGCTCCCCGCGGGGCCGCGAACCGCGCAATAGTCGCCATATTGGTGGGCTCTTGGGAGGTCCGGCGACGTGGAGGTCCGCACGGACCTGCCGAGGTCTCGCGGCTCTCTCTGCGGGGCTGCGAGCCGCGCAGCTGTCGCCGCTTTCCTGGGCTCCCGGGATGTGCAGCGGAGTGGAGGTCCCTGCGGGCCTGCCGAGGCCTCGCGGCTCCCTGGGGGCTGCGAGCCGTGCAACTGTCGCCACGTCTGCGAGCTCTTGGTAGGTCCAGCGGAGTGGAGGTCCACGATCCACGCGTACCTGCCGAGACCTCGCAGGCCCTGCGGGGCTGCAGGATTCTTCTCGGCGGCTCTCGACGGTGCTCGAAGAATCTTGTTGGTGTTCGCGTGCTCTTGGAGGGACCTGCACTCGACGGCTTCCTCGCAGACTCTCGACGGCATTTGCGCAGGATCTTCAACGACTTGGGCCGATCGTTTGGCGGTGGCCGGATGCGTTCGATGGCTCTCGGCGGTCTTCGCTTGTTTTTCGGGGGGTCCTCAGTGGCTTTCGGGGGTTGTCGGAGGTTCCTCGGGTCCGGCATTGCATTTTCTCTTTTCCGCCTGGGCACGCTGTACAGTCGGGACCCTGAAGAAGGAACCCTTTTCGTTGGGGAGGGGCTCCGTGTTCCTTAAGTGTTTCACAGCTTGCCTCAGGTTTCCCTTATGTTTTCGATCGGAAATCGAAGTTCAACTTATGCAAAAAGGGGCCTCGTTCCTTATTTAGGGTTCCTTAGGTCAACGCTCCGACGGTATTTTTGACCGCTTCCTGGGAGCCGGCTTTTTCTTATAGCATGATTGGGACGTGATTGCGTTCACAAGTAGGTGTAGCAGAGGCACATGATCAGGACGAGGGGAGAGAAGGTGGGGAAGGGGCAGGTGGTGAAGGAGGGGAGGATTCGGGCGAGGCGTAGGAGGAGGAGGATGAGAAGGAGGAGAAGCATTAGCAGGGGACGAACGAAGAGACTGACTCCGATGAGAAGGAGGAGGAGGAGGAGGAGGAAGAGGAAGAAGAAAGGGATGATAACGAGTTGATGAGGAGGATCTTCCAGGAGGAGGAGGAGGAGGAGGAGGAGGAGGAGGAGGAAGAAGGGGATGACAACGAGTGGATGAGGAGGATCTTCCAGGGGCCCGGGTGAGAACTGGGAGACAGGTGGCAGGATCTGCGGGTCATGGGGTGAGGACGGTGGGGGGCGGCCGGCGTGGGGGAGGCGAGGAGGTCTCGGGGCAGGGCCGGGGAGGGGGGCCGGGTGGCTACTGGCCCCGGACCAGTCTGCACGACATGCAGTTCGAGCCCGTGCAGCGGGTGCGCTTCACCAACGCCTCGCACTTGGCGTCGGTGGCGGTGCCGCAGGGGCTGTCTCAGTGCCACGAGCAGCAGCACCACCGTCAAGACGCTCAGGTGAGGACATCCCTGGGGCCTCCAGCGGCCGCCGGCCCGAGGCATGATACCCCCCACCCATCCTCAGAAGCAAGTCAACGTTCGCGTTGCAGCAACTGCTGGACCACGTGCAGGCGCCGTAAACATCAATGTACGTGTGCTTTCTGCAGAGGCGCTGGGATGCGGTCACACTGTGCGAAGGCCTAGCTTCCGGTTCCGCCGACCCTGGGAGAAGAGTCGCACGGGCGCCACGGGCGGTATTGGCAGTGGGAAGATGAGCAGGAGTAGGAGATGCGACTCCCAGATTCCATGTTGGCCTGGCGCGCGCCTCACGTAGGGGCTCCAGGTCCAGACAGAGAGGACAGACAGGCGACCACTGGGGACAGGAGGCCGAGGTGGAGCAGGAGGAGCAGGGGGAGGGGAGGAGGAGGAGGAGGACGAGGGGGCGGGGGAGAGCAGAGTCTGTGGGACGGTTCGAAGGAGGACTGCAGCGTGCATGAGGAGGACAGGATGTGGAACCAGGAAATAGGAAACAGGAGGAGTAGAGAGCATTGATTGCGGGCGCTCGGTTGATTCCTATGCAACCCGTTGTGGGTTGAGCACTTTGATGTGGTGGTATATGCTCGAACGCAGCGACGCCCGAAGTGAACAGTGGCTGAGTGTACCCCCTTCCTCGGTTCGCTCCGCCTCCAGATTCTGGGCCGTGGTGGTGGGCCTTTGAGGCACGTTGCCATCGGGGCAGACCATGAAGTCGGCATATCCTTGTTGGGGATTCGCTTCTTTCTGCCATCAGTCTTGGTGCCCGAGACGTACAGACGGCAACGTATGGAGGGAGAAGACATTGATGACGAGTAGAGGGCATTCATTGTGGGCGCTCGGTTGTTTCTTATCCAACTCGTGTTGGACCGAGCACATTGATGCTTTGAGCATGTTCGAGCACAGCGGCAACCGAGACGAACAGCGGCTTAGTGTAGCCCCGCTTCTCGGTCCGCCTTGCAACCATGTTCCTGGCTTTTGTGATACGCTCTTGAGGCACGTGGCCACCGGGACAGACGATGGACCCGAGATGAAGAGGAGGAGGTTTTGAGGAGGAGGAGAAGGAGGAAGAGGATGAGGAGCAGGAGGAGGAGGAGGAGTAGCCAGCATTCTTTGCAATCTCTCTCTTCTCCTTTCTCCCTCCCCCTGTTCCCTTCTCCGTCCTCCCCTCCTGCCCTCCCAAAAGGTGCCGCTGCTCGTGGAGGGGAGCCCCGCTGACCTGTGGCCCGCGATGCGGTGGACGGCCGCCGGCCTGGAGGCTCTGGCCGGACTAAGGGGTAGGAGGAGAAGGAGGCGGAAGAAGGAGGAGGAAGAGGAGGAGGAGAAGGAGGAGGAGGAGGAGGAGAAGGAGGAGGAGGAGGAGGAAGGAGGAGGAGGAGGAGAAGGAGGAGGAGGAGGAAGAAGGGGAGGATAACGAGTGGACGAGGGGGATCTTCCAGGGTCCAGGCTGAGAACTGGGAGATATAGGTGGCAGGAGCTGCGGGTTAAATGGGGTGAGGACGTTGGGGGACGGCCGGCATGGGGGAGGCGAGGAGGTCTCGGGGCAGGGCCGGGGAAGGGGGCCAGGTGGCCACTGTCTGGACGCCCGAAATGGGTACTGAAAGAATGGGTACAATGCCCAACAGCAGTTCCTGTTCATCTTGAACAGGACTCGCTGTCCGCGCCGCCGCGGTCTGTGTTCGTTTGCGGCAGAACGCCGCCTGCCCAACAGCGGCCGCTGTTGGTTCGGGACAACATTTGCTGTTGGGCATTGTGCCCATTGTTTCCGTGCCCATTTCGGGCGTCCAAACAGAAAGGGGGGTTACGAAATCTGCTGCAGGACTGGACCTAAGCGCTGTTTTGCTGGACTTCGGCTGGGTTTTGTTGATCGTTTTGGTAGGAGGGTGCAGGACAACAGGTAGAACAAAACAGACAACAACAAAAACAACGTTTAGGTCCAGCCCTGCTAAAAGGTAGGACGCGGAAAGGGAGGGGGGTACGGAATCTGCTGCATGCAGCTGGTTCCCGCCCCGCCGTCAGGCCCACTCTTCGACACACGGGGGACTCCCGGCGCCAGGAGGCTCCAGGATTCTCTGCCCTGTCTTCTGCTATCCTGCCCCGTCGTCCCCCCCCGGAGAGGCGAGAGCCCAGCGGTCACAGGAGTTCTGGGCGAGCCCGACGCCAGTGTTTAGATACTACGACGAGGACCCGAGGCTGGGATGAAGCCAGCGCGGCGACCGCTTCGGTTTGTTCGGGAACGCTCTGAGAGGAGGAGGAGGAGGAAGAGGAGGAGGAGACGTAGGGGAGGAGGAGAAGGAGGAAGAGGAGGAGGAGGAGGGTTTTTCTACATGACCAACACATTGCCATCAAAATCATTCGAAAGTAAGGACACCTGCCGTCAACGAGACACCTTTGTGTGCTTCGGGTGACGGCCTTTCAAATCGAGAGCCCACCTGCTCTCATTACTACTCGTTGCTTCCGCAATCCCCAGGGAAGGTCCTCCCAGGATCTTGAGAGGGCCCAGCGCAGTGTAGGCCTTGCTCGAAGTACGAACAAAGAGCGGATTCTCGTCGGAGCAATCAAAAGCGAGAAGCGTATGTCTTCGCTCCTTCACCCCAAAAGCGCCAAAGGAAAGTCCCCCGAACACCCAGACGGCGAGGGGCGGCTTTCCTGGCGTCTGAAACCCAAACATGTGTCGCACCTCTAATAGGTTCTGGACGACGACCAAGCGTGGTCGACCGTGGGAGCAGAGACTGTGGCCTCCCTCGGGGCTCTCATTCGCTCAGTGCTTGGTAAGTCAAGCCGAGGCCAAGCTGGAAGGAGCCGTGCTCCGAGCTTGATCCCAGCTTTACAAGCTCGCACCTGCCAAAGCACACACTCACGCTCGTGATCGGTTGGCCTAGTGTGCAGCCTGAGACCAAGATTGGCCGCCCCATCGGCCGAATCAGAGCCTGTCAGGAAATTCGTCTGGGACGAGTGCACATCTCTCTCCCGCACGTCAGCCCTCACTATCTTGAGGTCGACCCATGGTGCTGCGAGGGCCGAAAACAGCATGGCAGCAGAGGGTCGCTTGTAGGGGAAGCTGCAGAGCCCTGGAGGTTTTTTTTTGCCTTGACCACATTCTGACAACCAGAGTGCCCCCATAGACGGCCCCGATATACATTGACAGGCAGCCCCCAGGGCCCCAAACTCCCCCCTTTGGGTTGGTTTGGTGGAGTGGGGGCACAGATAGGCCCATCAGCAAAACACAAAACCCCCCAGACTCAGGATGGGCTGTAAGCCCCCAGCTTGCGCGAGATCGCTCTTTACGTACGCTGCGCTCACAACTAGCGTCCATGAAGATGTCCCCCAAGACGCAGGTGTCCTCCATCCCTGGATCGTCGGCCCAAGACACACAAGTTCCGGCTTCTTTGCGAGGGCGAGGCGAAGCCAAAAGCCACTTGGGCGAGGGAAAACAGCTTCAGTATATAGAAGGAACTGTTTCCGAGATCCTGGTCGATCGCTCTGGCTGCTACCTGGACCTCCTGGTCCAAAATTTCATCCATAAGCGAACGAATATCCGAACATCTCCGTCAACGACGATGTATTGAAGTTGCAGCAGCTTTGCAGAACGGACACAGGTCGGACTCCACTTGGTAGCCAGCTTGGATCGCACGATCCATGGTCCAGGCAGCTTCCAAACTAAGTCCACGACTGCAGCCTTTCTCGTAGGGGTTTGAACTTGCTGGAGGAAAAGGGCTGCCTGGACCACGTCATCGCAGAGCGTGGCGTCGACGCCGAGGGACTTGCCTGATGATCGCTGCAACTTCCTGAAGACTCCATCTCTCAGGGAAGACTTGATAAGAGCTGGCGACGCGGAGGTCATGCCCAAGGCGCGCCCGGAATCATTGACAAGTTCGGTGATTCCAGATCCCCAAATTGTTGCTTCCAGGCTTGCCTCAGACATCGGAGAGACAACGGACGCTGGAAGCTCCCGCATTACTTGGCCCGAATCACCTTTACATGCCGTATGACAGGCGACGCCGCAGGAAACCGTCAAATATCGCTCTGCAGGATGAGCAAGGAAGCGAGGCTTCATTGTCCCGGGCACGGTTTAAGAACACGCCCGAGGGAGCGACGCAAACCACCCAATTCGCAATCGGAAGATCGGGAGCATGAGCGGCCCCTGCCAGGGGGCCCGTGGCAAAAAACTCGCTTAGCCATCCTCTGCCCAAGTGCCACTCGGCATTTGCCAAGCCTGACCACGCGCTTCGTCAGCGCAGCTTGCCTGCGGGCGTGCTTCGCCCCCTGCCCCCGCGTCTCCTCGGTCTCCCCGCCGCGTCGCCCACCCCGAGATTGACCGCTGAACTGACTGCCCAAAGTTTGCCCCCCCCCCCCTCCCCCAGGTCTTTCAGGCGCCCAGAGACCTCGGCCTCTACGGCCCAGGGAGAGCAGACCACAGGGGTTTTGCCCCCTGAGACGAGGTGCATCACGTCATCCGTGAGGACCCAGTGCATTCGCGATTCTGACGTCGTAATTTGTTCGATCACATGCGCTGCCGTACTTGCGCACTGAATACCGTGATCGTCTACGGATATGCTCAGCGGCCCGCGCGCATATTCGCTCATTCAATCCATCGAAGGGGCAGCGCGCGCGAGCGAAGTGGCGAGCGAACCCCCTGCGACAAGCCCGCGCGCAGCAAACAACGGCCCTTTCATCGCACCGCAATCGTCGTGCATCTCGGCCCGCGGTGCGCTGCAATGCATGCCCTGGGAATCTGGCGCGCAAATCCTACCGTGTCACGTCGCTCCTGGAGGAGAGGTAAACCGACGAGACTCGTGGAGCTTATCAGGGTCCAAAGCGCAGAACATGCAACCTGTGCCATCAAACATTCGGTGGAGGCCTCAGCATAGACAGCCTGCCCCCACGCGACATCGGCTGCGCCCGCGAGCGCGCGCCGCCAAGTTTGGGCGCTGGAACCTGCCATCCCATGCCATTGCGCACCCCCTTCTCAACCTGGTCCACGACCTGAAGGGCGAGGGGGGTCGATAGTCCCCAACCCGCTGTCGGCTTGGATCGGAGGGGGGGCCATCTTACATCTGACCTGGTTGGAGAACGTGGCCGCCTCTTCACTGCCATCGAAGATCATCGAGAGGCAGGGGGGGCCCCACCCGACAAGGCAGCACAGTGACGCATGTGGAATCTATCCGCGCCAGTAGCCGAGCGACGTGGGCCAGTCCTTGAAACGCTGCGCACCATATCCGGTGACCCGACAGGCAACGGAGATAGGGGTCGATCGTGGGCGATTGCCTAGTAGCGTTCCAGGGGCCGCTCAAACGCGCGGCCTCGCTGTCCAACAACGCTCGGGGACCAGGAGGAACCATTCCGTTACAGGATAACGTGGGTGAAGGGGCCCACGGTGCAGCCTCGCGAGTCCACCAGTGCATTCTGCGGGTTCCAGCATCAGAACCGTCCAAAAGGCAACCTCCACTCTGCATTGCCTGCATTCTTCTGGGAGCTCGAGAAGTTCAAGGAACTCCGAGACATCTTCCAGGACCTCGATGCCCCTAGCCAGCATGTCGACGCATGCCTGCGCCTCCGGAGGCCCAAGGCCCAAGGTGCCGCAAACGTCCTGAATCACATGTTGCACCCCAATAAACTTAGCTGCGGCGTCGCCGATGTGTTGCGAAATCGATGCAGGCGGCTTCAAAGGGTGTCGACTGCCTCGCGCAACTGACCAGGCGGCGCAAAAACAACCCTGCAGCCTGCTCTCCGGCCCCCCCTGTGCCACTGCAAGCCCCCCCCCCTTTTCTCTCCAGCGCGAAGTCCAGGTCCACTAGCGCGGCGGGGCTCCGCGGCAGCGCCCCCAGGACAATGTTCACGCCTGAGCGACTGTTGAATTTCACCGAAGTGTCCTCTGCAACGTACCTGCACTACACTCGAACCACATTTGAACTACACTTGCACTACACCTGAACCGCACTTGAAATAGAATGACTACACCTGGACCACACTTGAACTACACCTGCGCCACACTTGATTCACACATGCGCATGCAAGCGCGGGGCACTTGGGCACGCGCAGCAGAATGCGGGATTCTGCGAGGGAGCCCCAAAGCATTGTCAGGGCCCCCGTTCCCGTCATGCTCGACCTGAGTGCGTTTCGCTCGAACAGCGTCGTTCCCGGGGCAGACAGGTGCGATCGGAATGGGGCCATCGTGGCGCGCGGCCGCGGCAACTGTCGAACGCGCGAGCGCGCCGTCGCCAAATGAGGCGCCCGATTCCGAAACTGGGGCCGACGAGCAGCCGCTCTGCGCGGCAGAAGGCCGCGGGCAGGGGGCGCTCTCGGCCATGGGCGGACTGCGCGCGCGCTGTGGGTTGCGCTGCGCCCCCATTCGTTTCGACGCGCGCGGGCGCGCGCGGGGCTCGCCCGGGCCGCGCCCGCGCGGGCAATCTAGCGCGGGGAGATGGGGCCGCGCATAGACCAGGAGGGCACCTTGTGCGCGAAACGGTTTTGTATGAGTTGGGCGGCTGCGTTGGCGCGTCGCTCGCGCACTTGATTATTTCATGCAGTCCGTGGCCCGCGTCTTCGCGCGTGGCCCCCGGGTTTGTTGGGCGTGTTTGTATAGCCGCAGGGCGCGCGGCTATCTGCGAGCCGCCGCGGTCGGCGGGGCGCTTGCGCGCTGCCCAAGCGGGGCGAGCTCCTGCGCCGCCGCCGGCTTCGCGCGCGCGGCACTTCGCGCGGCCGCCGGATCGCGCGGCGCAGGGGCTGGGCGACGAGCGGAAATCAGCGATGCCGCGCCGCCATCGCGCGCGCGATCGGGGGGGGGCAGTTCGAACGCGCGCACTTGCGTCGCGCGAAAACTCATCCTTTATCACACCTGAGGGACGCGCGGGCCAGACTGCTCTGCGCGCGGTCGTCGGCCAGGGCGGCGCGGCGCGTCTGCGCCGGGCTCGCCGGGCGACGCGCGGTCCCGAGCCGGCGGCCAGTCCGCCGCCCGCTCGCGCTCGGGCGCGCGCATTTTCCCGCGGGCGGAGCGGCGCCGCCGCGCGCGGAGCGCGCGTCGGCTTCTTGCGCCACGTTCCGCCAACGCTTGCATTGTTCTTGCAATGCGCCTGAACAGCGCCCGCGCTGCGAGTGCTCGGCCAGTCTGTGGCGCGCCGTGTGGGCGCAGTGCTTGGGCCGCGACGGAGCTGCGCTTGAAGCGCGCAGGAATTACGGGCGCACTCGACTTGGTCTGCACTTTACATGCAC